AGTTGTCTGGCTAATTTCTTTCTATTTTTAGTAGAGACAAGGTCTCGCTCTTGCTCAGGCTGGTCTTGAACTCCTGAGCTCAAACGATCCTCCTGCTTCAGCCTCCCAGAGTGCTAGGATTACAGGCATGAGCCACCGCGCCCAGCCAAAGATGTAGGTTTTAATTCCCAAAAAGAGTAGGGGAGGTTTTAAAAAGACAGAAAACATTTTTACCCTTTCTCAGGCCATTCCCTCTGTTACATACACACCCCTCTTCCTTGACAAGTGGTTTAATGAAATGTGCTCACTTGGGTTAATTAACCTCATCTTACACAAGCATTTTAATTAAGAATTCTATAGTAGAAAAGAAATTTTAAATTACAGGTATCAATATATTCTTTACTGTGAAAGATTCAAAAAATACAAATAAATTAAAAGATCCTCTGAACTCATTACTCAATCCCAGTCTTCTCCCAAGGATCATTACTGTTACCAACTTGAAGTGTACCTTCCAGAACCATTTTGTATGCATATACATAGAAATATGAAGATGAATGAAAAAATACGGTTTTATTTTGTGGGTTCAATTCCTTCTCTTAAAAAAAAAAAGTTATATACTGTAAGCTTTTTTCTGCATACAAAAATATACATTGTTAATACTTGTACCAGGCCACAGGACAACAGAGCTTCTTTCTTCAGAGTATATACATTTGTAGTTCAGTTTTCTGACTGAAAAGCGAAGTTTGTGCTTTCTCCTCGCCTGGTTCCCTTCCTCCCAACTAGGCTGGTTTTAGGGCTTTGTGGGCATTAAAGTCAGGGGATTTTCTCTAGCTTCTATTCTCAATCCCTACCATTTTATAGTTCAATTCAGTGTCTCATCTGAAACGTTTAAACTTTAACCTTGACTGTCTTTCTTAATTTCCAGAAAAGATTGTTTCAAGGGAGGAAAGGAATTTGGCAGGAGCCTCGCACATTTGGCCTCTTTCAATCACGCTTAGGGAATAGTGTCCCCTGGTGGCTACTGAGGGATTTTAGAGAAGACGACGGGTGGCATTTTCTGTCAGAAATCATGAACTTCTCCACACATCGAGGGGTAAACTCACCGTGAGATCCTTCCTCTTTCAGGCGGTCCCACCCCAGGACCTCCAAGAGCATGAACGCGCGTCGACCCCCCTAAGTCGCTCCTTCTTGCAGCCCTTTGCTAAGCGGCGCCCCAGGGACCAGCCCAGGTTCTAACGCGGGGCCCGACAGGCTCTATCCCCGCGCGGCCACGCCTTGCCCGGCGGGCCCTCCCCGTGAGCGCTGACCCTCCGGGGCCACTCGATCGTCTGCCGGAGTCAAAGACTCGACGATAGCGGCAGCATGTGGCGGGCAGCCCTAGCCGTGCTCCGAGCCTCAGGGGTTCCCCTCCAGCCCCGGACATCGATGTCCACATTGTCCTTTTTCTCCCAGAAGACCGTGACCCTGACTGTCACGCCCAAGATTGGGCTGCCCGGCGAGCTCCTGGATATTTAAGTGGAAGGTTAGGCCCGGGGGAGCGGGCGACCCTGCGGGCATCAGCCGTCAGCTACCGAAGCCGCCTCTTCCACTCGTTCGCCCACTACGAGGCAGACAGCCACGGGAGGCTGGACCTGGCCCGGGACCCGGCTCTGGGCGGCGACTTCTCGGGCGTGGAGCCTCTCACCGGCCACTTCGGAGGATTCCTGCCTCAGCCAGATGCCAGGGGCGTGATGAAAACCCCCCTCAAAGTGGAGGTGACTGTCCACCTCGCGCCCTGGCAGCCGGCAAGGCCGCCGGGCCCGCGACGGCCTCCGCGCAGGTGCAGCGCTGGTTCTCCTCCCCCGAGCTGCGCAGCGCTGCTCTGCAAGCAGGTCGCCTGCGGGGCGTCTTCCTGATGCCCCCAGGTGCGGGGGCCTTTTGTGCAGGGGGCCTGGCGGCGGATTGAGGTGCTGACTGGATGGCCTGTGAAAGCTGATTTGCCTAGCTAACTAGATCATCTGAAAACAAAGCGAGCTCCTTAATTCCTTTATTTTGTCTCCGAAACATCGGGTGGTACGTTCATTCCTCAAAATGGTGGCTAAATTGAATCTGTTTGAATACCTCTCCTCTGCCAGCTGCCCACCCTCCAGACCCCTAGTGCTGCAGACGCTGTTCCTTGCGAACAGATACCTTGCACGTTTGCTATACTAAGCATAAAATTGCTGTAAGGTTTAAGTGCTTGTTTGCCTATCTCTACTAGGCAGAGCTTTGTGTTAATTTATAATAACTTTTCCCGTTATCATTTCTTGTTAAAAATGACAAGAATAGGCTGGGCGTGGTGGCTCACGCCTGTAATCCTAGCACCCTGAGAGGCTGAGGCGGGAGGATCG